GAGGAGGAAAATAATGATTAATGATTACACTGTAGTACAAGTTAAACGTGTTAAATACATGGGTTGCGATAAACATATGATCAAGACGATATAAACACGAAAGTTTACATATTCCAGAATGTATATGGCACTGTTAGAAGAAATTTCTAAAGCAAAACTACATAGCACACCCAACTAAATTTCCATAAGGCAATGGAAGTTACAGCATTATTACATCAGAGTGAAATGTGAATACTAAAGATGAAAGACATAACATAAATTCAACCCGCAGAAATTAAATTTGTAGTTAGTCAAGACGTGTAGGACCTTCATAACGAATAGGAATATAAACAATGAAATTCAAAGACAGTTAGAAATCCCGTATCTTCAATAGAAAATAAAACAAAGAAATAAATAGCCTTGTGTTAGAACACACAAAAAAAATCAAACCAAGACTTCCATTACAGACCAAGTGGAAGAAGAGACATTGGCCGTCCAGGAAAGAAATGAAAAGTTGAATCTGAAATAGGAATATTCTGAGCCCTGAAGGGATGACGATCACTATGGGCATGGACCGGATTCACCTGGCTCGGGACAGATTTCGGTGGTTGGCACTTGTGAACGCTCATTTTAAGTGATTACCAGCTTCTCACAAAGGATTCTGGAGAATGGCTTAATTCAATAACGTATGCTTGCGTTCTGGCATGCAAATCGTTCATGGATGGAGTGAATTTAGAGCCGTCCAAGGAATTAAATCATAAAAATAAAAAGACATCTTGGTTTAGTCCGTGACGCTTGTGTCCTTGCAGACTCACCAGCCTTACCAGGTTCAAGTATCGCTGGTGGGTGATAGACAATGGTTCTTAGTGTACACCACCGAGCGGGCCGACACTAGCGCCACGAGTTGACCACTGGGATAAGCTACAGGAACAGGAAGGTACGCATTCCAGCGTTGTCGAGTTTTACCAGCTGGTCAAGTTTCTTTATCGAGAACAAAAATAGCCCCAGTGCGCGAAGGAATTGCCGCTTCCTTTCAGCCTGCACGGCGTTGTCCTGGGAGCAATGAATCACGCCGTCCCAACAACAAAGAATCGACATAGTGATTTCACACGCTAAATTATATCCAGTACAACTTCCTGTACCAATTTCTTTCAGATACTGTCAGAATGAGATCGGCAGTGAGGCCCGGACAGTTTCCTAAAAATGCGTACGGAGCCTTCCTCCGGGGGTTAAAGCGACGAGAGCATGAAGCTGAGGAATCTCCATATACTTTGGAGACGTCTCTAATTATATCCGAAGTCAAAATTTCAAAGCAATCATGGTTTTGGGGGATATAATGACAGAGGAATGTAGGTTAAATACATAAAAATATGCTCTCTAAAGCAGAACTTCGCTGCTAGATAATATTCCCAGTATCACTGATTCCGAAAAAAGAAACGTGAATTTGCGTGTAATTTACTATATCAATTAGACTGTTCTGCTTATGCTTTATCTGCACATAAGCTGGCAAGCTGAAATTGCCCGTGTTTATTTTTCTTTCTTCTCGGCTCCCCACTATGCTACAAGACGGAAGGTCGCGGGTTCAAGTCCCGATGAGATAATTGGATTTTTTTTCAATTGATCTAATCCTTCCGGCCGCATTATGGTCCTGGGGTCGACTCAGTCTCTAACAGAAATGAGTACCAGGAATATTCTTGGAATGTTCTTGGGGGGTAAAGGGCGGCCGGCGCGTAGGGCTGACAACCTTACCGCAATCTATGACCAGATTGCCTAGAAAATGTAGGACCTCAACATCTCACAACCCTATGGGCCTCCACGGCCTGTTATAGGGATACCTTTACTTTTTACCGTTTACTTCGCTCCCACTTTGGAGCATAGAGCTGATTTCTCAGTTTCATTGACCATTTTTACAAACGGTAGGACTCCTTGGACGGGTGATCAGCTCGTCGCAAGGCCTCTACCTAAACACAAGACAACACAAACAGAATAAACGCATACACACACCAAACATCCATGTCTTGTGTGGGATTCGAAAGCAAGAACCGGGCTTCCGAGCGAGTGAAGACAGTACATGCCTCGGCTACCGTGACCGGCTGTGTTTAATTAATTAAGCACAAAGCCATGAAGACGTATGGGATTAGAGGTATAGCTTCACCATTCTTGACCTCAGCACACAGTAAAGATAATGCGAGAACAATGGATACACCGAGCCTCTCTCCCCGCACGCTTTAGTTCCAAAAGTACCAAACAGATTCTTCTGAGGACATCTGGTATACTTACTTGGCTCACTGAAAGTTATCGCTCTGTTAAGCATCAGGTCAAGACAAGCTCTACATCACATTAAGTGCAAACTGAAAATTTGTAATTCTTCTCAACAGCGGTTCTGCATACAGAAGAGTGGTTCATAGCAGAACATACATGTCTTTCCAAGATCTCTAGGTCTAATGGTTATTTAACCGTTCATAGTCAACAAAATTCAAAATAATCAGTGTCTCTGTGCAGTGAACGGTAATGTATTTAGCTTTGTGACAAGAGTCTATATTTACATCTGCAATAAATGAATTCAGCAACAGTAGCGTACAAAGTAAAACAACAAGAAAACAGCATTTGAAGGTACGAGTATGTGTACACCAAAGTACAATATAGATGACCAGTTCTGTCTTCTGAACATGTCACCTCCGTCTTAAGGGTCGAAGAATAAGCCAAGCTGGTATTGTCTCCTATTGATCCTCTCGGTTATGTTGGAAAGCCAACGGGAAATAGCAAGCTGTCTTTGCATTTCTATTCGTTCATTTTGTCCAATAAGCGAGCCAACGGGAACTGACTTCGGAAATACTGGGTTTTTGGACTTTGTCCATCGTCTGGTATTCTAGAGACTAGAAAACGCGTTTCGGAAACGTCCTCAGATGAGGGGGGGGAGACATCTACTGTGTTGGGTCCCTTAGAAAGAGCTAACCTCAATCACTGAATTGAGGTTAGCTCTTTGTAATGGACCTAAACGTTGTGTTTTCTGGTTGCTAGAATACAGAACGATGTACAAAGTCCAAAACCCCAGGAATTCTTAGTATTATACACCATCAGGACCCTTTAGAATCAACTTGGGAACTGACTTGGCTTGCAGTTTTCTACTGTTTCTTATATAATCCGAAATTCCAGACAATCGATTGCTCTGCCTGGTACATGCTTCACGCTGGTTACTGAATTAGCTGATTTTTCAACCTTGAAGATGGAGACATGTTCCTCCGTAAGGACGGCTGACTTTCAACGGACTTCACGGCGTTATATCCTGTGAGATAAAACTCTTCATAGACACCGCTGCGTGTACCTCAAATTCTACAAAGAACACAAATGTTTTTGTATCTAGGTTGCTGGTTCGGTATCTAGTATGCAACCATACGTGAAGGCTGAAAAGCGCAGAATTCGCAATCAGTACACCAAGTTATATTTTTTTTATCATTTGCGCTACAGCCCTCATTTGGGCCTAGGCCTACCTCCATGAAACTCTCCGTTCACTTCTGTTTTACTAGATCTTAGACATACGGTAGGACTCCTTGGGCGGGTGATCAGCTCGTCGCAAGGCCTCTACCTGTACACAAAGACAGAAAAACGCACACAAAGATCCATGCCCTGAGTGGGTTTCGAACCCACGATCCCGGCTTCCGAGCGAGCGAAGACAGTGCATGTCTTAGACCGCTCGGCTACCGTGACCGGCCCAATTTATATTTAGAGACTCTTATTTCTATATATATTTCTTTACGTCAACAACACCACGCTTCTTGAAACGAAGCATGTCCGGATATAATAAAAACGAGGTCGTGGGTGCCCCGTAATATTCAACGATGTGACTAAGATACGCACATCCTCCACCTATAGGAATGAAACTGTAAAAACAAGTTGCTCCGTTTATTGTTACTGCGCTCTGCTGTCTTTGATCACGTCACCGGCAGCATAAATTCTTCAGACTGCTGCCTAGGCATTCCGCGCCCATTATAAACGAAAATAGAAGTGCTCCCAAGTCTTCACTTCGTTCTGGTATCAGAATGTATTGATCGGGGATGCAGAACTTCACTTCAGATTCTATCACTTAATCAGACAATGCGAAACTACAAGACTACACTACTAAACAAAAATAAAATAAACTCCGTGGTTTTAGTCCGCAAGCGAACTATACCGACCGAGCGACCGCTGCTTGTCGGCGAAGTTAGTGCCAACTTTTGGGGATAGAGGGTGTCACGTGGTCAGTCAACGGATCCCCACGGCCGTTAATTTTTTGAAAACTCTGTGCCTCCCGAAAAGACAGGCATTGACAGCAATATTAAAATTTTAATTATCTATGCTTGAAATCCGTGGAACACTAACCTACGCAGTTGCTTCCATACAGGATCTTCGCCTGTAGCATAAGTGTCCACAAGGAACCGCCTCGACGTACCCTGCGCGACCGCAGGGGACCTGCAGTCTCGGCCCCTGCGGTCAAACTGTGCTGCTAAAATTGTGTGCACTTATTTTCGGGATCGTTTAAGCCACTTTGTATAGTGATTCATTCATCAGAGGAGCATCGCATTTTACAAATTAACACTATTCATTCACCTGTCCCAGACAACTTGTTGGAAGGCAGAGAAGGCAGGAAACAAAGTTACGAGTTCATCACAGAGCCCATGCATAGAAGAGGAAATTTGAATGCTTCCTTCATAGTTCTTATCTGTTGCACAAATGTGGAGGCTGAGTCTTTGGTTTGTGACAACAGTTTCTCAGATATCAGTAGATAATAAAATGTGTCATGGCTGCATAAAGCGCTTAGTTTCTATAAAGCAAAAAGTTGGATTTGTATATAGTAAGCTCAGTAATGTAGTCCGCACCATACCTTAAGCTGGCTTCCCACCGCGGCGGCCCGGGTTCGATCCCGGGTCTGGTCAAGTGGGATTTGTGGTGGGGCAGGTTTTCTCCGGTTTTCCCTGCCAATCTTCATTCCACCAATTGCTCCACAATCACCCTCACCTATCATCTGGGGCTGGTACAATGTGGCCGCAGTACGAGGGACTTAGTCCCACGCCACTAGCAATGAAAAAAGAGCCCAGTAATGTTAGTGTACACAAAGAGTTTCAAACAAAATACAATTCAGGAGCAACAAACCATAGATTAAAAAAAAAAGAAATTAAGAGACAAAATGTTGGTGTAGGTAAGTTTCCAACGCTTCGGTCTTCGTGGAAGAAAAGGTGTGTGCGTAAATATGGAAAGCCAAAGATAAAGAACGTGAATTCCGTTAGTGAAACAAGCGTAAGGTCGCCACACACGATCCGTTTTGCCAAGAGGGAGCGTGTGTGTTGGGAAGTCGGCATTGTTATCTGACATGCACAGTCTTTATCATGGCTTGAACTAAATCTGTCAGTGCTCGCTTTATCCATGGGTGTTGCAGAGTGCCGTCATGCGAGTTGGAGCGTGTGTGACAGTCACTCAATTTCTTCTCTGTCTGTACTCTTTATCACATGAATCGTGCAGGATTTGCGGACCATCTCTCCTGAGCTTCCTCAGCATTTTATGGAAATATACAAGCTACAAGAATGCTTGTGGAAGGTAACATCAAAACAATATTCGGATCGTAATGCAAAAAAAAAAAAAGGGGGAGCGTACGAATTACTGATAAAGTCAATGAAATCGATCCACAAGCGAAAACAGATAACGCTGAAAGAAAATTATCTCTACCTTCCTGCTTTCGAAAGAAACTTAAAAATGTAAGATAATCGAACAGATTTGTAGATGGGGCGGACGACATTATCATCCAAATTTGTGGTACTTCAATGACCTGTTATTTATGGAGGATCGGGGAACCCCATGAAGTGTCAGCAATGTTGATTCAATACACAGTGACAAGGGCAACGTAAGTAATCGGTAAGATTCGATTATATTAAATTGCAAATAAAATTATATAGAGCATAAATAAAGTTAATAGGTGGGCACCGCCATCTTTAGGGTCATCAGTTCAGAGCTCCTCGAAATCCTCAGACACGAAGAACAAAAAGATGACCCTGCAGATAAAGGTAAAGGTACCCCTGTAACAGGCCGTGAAGGCCCATAGGGTTGTGAGACGTCGAAGCTCGCACATTTTCTCTAGACAATCGGTTCATAGATGGCGGTGAGGTTGTTAGCCTTACGCGCCGGCCGCCCTTTACCTCCAAGAATATTCCTGGTGCTAATTTCTGTTAGAGGATGAGTTAACGTCAGGGCCATTGTGCGGCTGGAAGGATTAGGTAAATTGAAAAAATATGGGATATAATAGCAAGTTTTTCGGTGGAAAGTTACCGACGTTTCGGAGAAAATGCAAAGAAAGCCAACCAGAAACTGTCATAAAACAGGCAGCAAGCAGAGTTATACCACAAGATAGAACTCTTCAGCTTAGTGAAATTCTCCCAAATGGGATTTAAAAGAAATCTGTCCAACGGTTTAGGATCTGTTACACGACTGTAGACAGAGGGACAGATATGACGTAAGGCGTTCGTTTTTTACTTTGTGTAGAGCGGTTAATAAGGTTGGCAGCCAGTGATTTAAAGAAATATGTAGCAGTAGCTTCAAGGGCCCTGGCAAGTGGAAGATGACAATGTCTGGATGACAATGGTGGGCGGAAGCCCCTCTTATGCAGCAGGTTTTTTGGAAGAGGCTGACATCATACCTTCTACTACGAGCATGTGTCATTCCTGAGTTCTGTAAACACCGATGTTTGCATGAAAAGCGCTCAGGGCGACATGACGCGAGCCTAGGATGGCTCTCAACGCGGTATTTCATGCAGATATCACTAGATGCAGCATTAGTCTTCCCTGTGCTTAACTAATTAAGCACTACTCAATGAGGAAATATGGTAGAGTGAATGTATGGATGCAAGTATTATTGTACTTCGCATTAGTTGATGAACGATCAACTACACGCCCCTGGCCGCTTTACCCTCAGCAAAAAGCCCCGGTAACCATTGGATAGGAGGCAGGGTGGGCCCCACAATCAGTCTGTACGACGTAGAGAAGAGAAAATTCCTGCCTATATCGAGATTCGAAATCCGATCCCTCGGCCTCCCAGCCCGTAGCCAGTAATAAAAGAGCCATGACTGATTTCAAGGGTCTCGTCTGTTGTGAAGTAAATGTTAAGTTATCCTTGGGCTTAATTTATTAGGCACCGAGCCATGAAGACGTACAGGGAGTGAAGGTATAGCTCCACCTCTCTTTATCTCGGCACTAGATGGAGGTGAGCGGTCAGCGTCACGTCCCTGTCGCTTTACTCCCGGGGCTCATTGTATAGGAGGTTGGGTCGGCCCCGCAGCCTGTCTGGACGTTATGGAGAAATCTCTTGTTCCAGAAGCGAAGCGAATCCCTTTCCTCGGCCGCCCAGCCCGCAGCCTGGTTGCTATACCGACTGAGCCATCTCAGCCCCCTTTGTTGTAACAGGATCAGAGACGTGCAAGTGAGGCTGGCACTTGTCTTTAGTGTTATCATTATTATAATCACAATCATCAGTATTTATAGGGAGGATCCTTACGGTGACGTCACTTTAGAAAATAAAATGAGAAGAGGAAAAACGAAGAGAGGGGTTGTCCATTGAGTAATGAACTCCAAGGGTAAATGGGAATCCAGCGCTACTTAAACATTTTAAAACGATCTCTGTTGAATGGATGAGGCAAACAAGTATCAACGTATAAAAGAATGAAAGGAAAATGTTCTGAACTTCATAGAGAAGCTTCCTTCTTGAGAAGGTGACAGTGGTTCAGTTCATCAAGAAATTCCCCGTCTTTTATGGAACCCGGAAGCTCCATTACCGTTTTCGAAAGAGCCTGTCACTGGACGCTCAATCAAGTCCCCACACTGTATTTCTTTGGGATCAACTTAATGTTACCCTTCCATCTACTTCAAATGATTTCATTCCTCCAGGTTTTCCAGCTGGAAGTTGTAACGTATTTCTTATCAGTGATAAGTTATCACCATGCATACTGCATGTTGAGCCTATCTCATCTCCTTTGATTTTATGACCCTAATAGTATTTAATACTGACCGAGCGACCGCTGCTTGTCGACGAAGTTAGTGCCGACTTTAGCGGATAGAGGGTGTTGCGTGGACAGCACAACGAAACCCCACAGCCGTTAATTTCGGGTTTCTAGACTGGAGCCGCTATTTGCTTGAAATAGCTCATCAACTATCCTCATGAAGCTGAGTGGACCCTGTTCCAGACCCACTATTTCTCAAGAAATCTGGTAGCGCCGGGAATCGAACCCTGGACATAGCCAGGAACTCTGACCACTAGACCACAGAGGCGGTTTATCATTTGAAGCAGGAAGTTCATCAAACAATATTTCGAACTCAACTTTCTACAGTATGTAAAATGCTCTGCGTGTCCATCACAAAGCTCGTTTGCGGACTAGAACAACGGAATTTGTTTCTGTTTGTTGTCTAATAGCATTTAATATATTTTTATATATCAGAGGTCTATGGGTTTTCCCTACATTCTAGTGACGAGACACGCATGCATTATGATGAAACAGTCGCCTCTTTATAATGCCTCATAGTCACGTTTCATGCATTTGTTACTATTTTCAGCTTTCTTAAGACTAGGTTGCCAGACTAAATAATCTAGACTTCAACTCATGCAAACTCGTTTGGCAAGAGTCGTGTAACTGGTTAACATCTCTCGCGTCTATGAGAGAGATCAGAGAGGGCATTTGTCGAAATAATTCGCCTTGTTTATAATACTCTAGTCATACACAGAAAAATTACTCAGTGCGAGTAACAGCGTTCTCTTGCATACCAGAACATATGCGAAAATAACACAAGACAGAGGCGACAGAACTCATTTTGGGACTCTTATTTGTCGTTTATGCTTTTAGCCACAAGTACAGGCTACTTGAATAATAATAATAATAATAATAATAATAATAATAATAATACAAATGAAGCCGGGAAATCGCAGTCTGTATTGCGACAGGCTACAGGCTGGACGGCCGAGGTGTCTGAGTTCGAGTCCCGGTAGGGGCAAGATTTTTCTCCTCTCTACGTCGTACAGATCGGTTCTGATGGCCCCCCCCGCACACATCCTATCAAATGGGTACGGGGGCTCTTTCCCCGGGGGTAAAACGGCCGGGGAGTGAAGCTCATCACACACCTTTATCTAGTGCCGATGAAATGAATACGTGGATCTACACATCCACTGCCCCATACACCTTCTTGGCACAGTGCTTAACCCCTTAAGCACAGGGACACTTTACTTTGACCTTACTTGAAAATAAAAATAGAGAAAAGTTTACTCTGGGCTGAATTATTTACGCACAGCGCCTCGAAGACGTATGGGGTAGTGTGGGTATAGTGCTATCATGCTTACACGCGTCACTAGACGGAGGTGAATGGTCAGCTTCACGCCCTTTGCATCAGCTCCCGGTACGCACTGTATACGAGGCTGAGCGGGCACCAGAGGCAGTATGAACGTGTTGAAGAAGAGAACAATCTTTTTCCCTTCCGGGAACCGCAAAGTCAGCTGTAACTGCCTAAACGAAAACTTAGAAAAACTGCATTCGTATGTTATTCACTTTGTTATTTAAAACCAGAACAAATCATCTTCGAGGGTGCGAAAGAATGGAGCTGAGTGGATGGCGAGTGGCATCCATTGGCAGTCTGTGGTATTGCAGGCGTGCTCCGGCGTTAGCTGTTTACCTCGGGTAATACTAAAGCCCGCCGTTGGAACGACAGCCTCCAGCTTGGGCCACTAACTACATGGAGCTGAGCCCTTCTCGAGAAGCCGTCAGTTGTGCAGGCACTCAAGAATTTCTCAACATTTAATGGAACTCGAAGGTATATTACCACGTTCACAAGAGGCCTCCATCGGTCCTTATCCTGAGCCAGATCAATCCAGTCCAAATTACCCAGTTCTGTGTTTCTAAGATCCATTTCAATATTGTCCACTCTAAAGTCTAGGTCTTCTATAGTGGTCTCTTTGCTTCTGGCTTTCCCACCAATGCTCTATATGCATTCCTTTTCTCCCCTGTGTGCGCTACATGTCCTGCTCATTTCATCCTCCTTGACTTGATC